AAATGAAATTGAATAAAAATGGATTTCAAGGTGATTGTGTCCATATATTTGTTGTGACCGACTTCGTCATCTCTGTGTCCAAGAGCTCGACCACCGCCAATGAAGACTGTCTGCGGACTGCTGCGGCACCATCCAAACAAGGGGCAACTTTCCGTTGCCACGAGCCGGCGTGAGACACCGTTCAAACCAGGGGCAACTTTCCGTTGCCTCCGACCCCCCTTTAAACCAGGGGCAATTTTTCATTACCTCCGATCCGAGGTTGCGCATCTCAAAGAGTAAGTTCCATGCCCGTTCAGCATTGACTGTTTGCAAAATAGTTTTTGAAAATTTTTTCTGAGGTTGACTATTTTCTCGAAAACTATTCCATTTTCCAAAACTGGACCATTGTCTTGGACCCAAAAAGGAAAATTTTCAGTGCTTATAGCCTGACTCGCATGGTTTTCAAATCAAAAATCGAACAAGTACGTTAATCCGACTCTCATTTTGATCAAATTTGTTTTAGTAGAAAACCAAAACGAAAAGAATGGTTAAAATGATGAACTAGGGGCACAGTTGAGTCAGGCGTTCTGTCTTTCCCCCGTCGTCAACATACTTGCCAGAAGAGCACTCTACCCACCAGAAGAAATAGCTGTGAGCTAACGGCATTGGGCATGAACCCGTAACTTCCTATTCATTCATTAATCACCTTGGGGAGGGATGAAAAATGAGAGAATGAAGAATAGAGAGGTGTAAGTCGAGAGAAAAGTAAGAAAAAGGGTTTTGAGAGAAAAACCGAGCTTGAGTGCCAGAGTGATGTGAGAATCACAAATGAGAAGGGGGGTGGGAAACAATACCCAGATTGAACTGGCTCCTCGTGGTCCGAGGTCCCCCATCTTCGCTAACGCGGCTGTATGTCGTGTCTTTTGTTTTGTTTATCTCAACCTTTGTTTTAGGTCTTTTTCGAGCGTGTCTCGTTGTGTTTAGGTCGTGTACCTTTTTGTTTGAGTCCTCCCCGTTGTGTTCAGTTGTAGGCTCGATACCCCGGTGGAAAAACCCTCATTCGATTTCAAAAATCATTTACACTCAGAATGCTGTGCCATTCTCTATACTTGAGCGTGTTTCAACCCCAGCTGGTTTCACCCCCGTAGGCCGTCTTGTCAGATTGGGCTGTTTCGCTTAAAGTTTGCTGTGTGCGGAATGAATCGAATGCTGTGTTATGGGCTGTATGCAGATTAATCCCCAACAGAGTAAGGGCTGTGTCTCCAGAATCAGGCAGTGGGCTGCTTGGGTTATTTTGTTGTTGGCTGTTTAGTTATCTGATTATTACAGTGCAAGTGTTCGATTTTCAGACAACCAATCAATTTCATTTACATTGAGGTGTAACATGATGGAATGCGATGCAATACATGAGATATGTAAATGTAACACTTTTTAAGCACAAAATTTGTTCATTTCATAATCTTTTTTAAGTACAAAGTTTTGAGGAAAATAAAATCTGCCTGCGGCAGTACAAAGTATCCTGACTATCAAAAAGGAAAAGTACAAGAAAGAAGAAAAACAACAAAAACTAATGTCAAGCGACTCCAAGGGCCATCAGTCTGTCCTGGTCCTCTTCCTGGATGAGGGTCCAGGAGCATCATCAGCGTCGTCGTCAGAGCCCTTGATCGAGGAAAACTTGTCAATCAAAATTGTTTAGCATGCCTCCAATCATAGTGCACACATTAGTTTTTTTATTGCGCCAATCAAGGCAACAAAATCACAGCAACATTGAGTCATGTTTCCTTACTTTGGCTCAACTAAGGTCTGACCAAAAGTCTCTAAGACTTTCTACTTATCTAAAGAATAGGATTACGTTGTTTACATTTGAACATCTCTACCAAGTCTAGGTCAATCAAATTAATTTCCATAAACTAAGTCAATTAGAGGAAAAAATACACATTGAGATTAATTTGATTAGCATATCACAATATAATTTTGCCGCAAAAATTCAAATTAAATTGTGACAATATTACATAAGTCATAAAATCAAAAATTCACTATGTTCATAATCATCTCTTATGTCACAAGTGACAATTATCCAAAATTTAATTTAATTCATGCTCAAAATATTGGTTTTCGAGAGTAAATCTACATAGATTTTTCTCAACGAAACAACCTCTCACTAACTATGACATGTCTAAAGTATGATAATATATTAATTCTACATAATAGCATCTCAATGTGATTTAAAAAAAAAAAAT